TTATCTTTTTCTCTTCATCGTCGGTGGTTTCGCTTTCAAAACTTCACTTTTTTTCTTTAATTTTCCGTATTCTTTTACATCATTTTTTATAGTGTACACCGATCATTTGTTAACATATTTGTGGCATATTATCGGTGCTTATTTCTTTAGTATTTTTAGAAATCTTTAGATAATTTCTTAGATTTTAGAAATCTTACTATCTTTATATATTTTGATAAATTTTCATCTAACTTGAGATATACTATACCATATAATTATGAGAGAGTAGTGATATATGCTATAGGGATATCTATATGTCTACATTTTTACCTGAAGTTTCAAAATTACAGTATGTGAGACAGGGGCAGCGGAGCGTCATTAAGCCAAGTGAGGCTCATAGTATTTTTTCTTCTCCCGTCTAATTTTATCAAAGCGCCCACCAGAATATAAGTCTAATGGTGTTCACTACATAGAGGTTATCAGAGGTTTCGTGAGGTGGCCAACATTGGGGGGGGGGGGGGGGGAAAAAAAAAAATTTGCGCCATNCCCCCCCCCCCCCCCCCCCCCCCCCCCCCCCCCCCCCCCCCCCCCCCCCCCCCCCCCCCCCCCCCCCCCCCCCCCCCCCCCCCCCGCAAAAAAATTTGCGCACTAGAGCTAATGTTTATTCTTTCCCTAGTCTGAAATATATGAAAATTTTGTCATTTACTAATCGATTATTCAAGTAAAAACGTTGGACTTCCAAACGACTCAATAAATTCAGACAAAACTCAAAACCGATGCATACCTAGTTGCGCCCAAACATAAAGTACATCAAACCTATGAATATCACAAAAATTGTATAGGAGTCAATCTTGCCTCTTATCGTCATCCCTCCTTTTAATTTGTACTGCAACATAAATACAAGTTCTGATCAAAATACCGTGAAATCTTACGGCCATGATCGTCTATTCACATTCAATAGCCATGAAAAGGCGTTTAGAGGTTTTTAACCTTATCAAAGAACTAATCAGTCCCACGGCTCACATTCGTTTAGTTTAATTTCAATTTGGGATTTATTTCGTCTAATGTCAATGATTTTGAATGCTGAATATGGTAGAATTAGCACTTCTCGTTCATCTTCAAACACAGATACTTTTTCGATATCTAATGCTGTACGTCGATTTCTTATTTTATAGGTGCAGAGTGCATCGAATCTATTACCACCACCAGATCTACCGAGAAATTTACATGCAACTGACATTTGTTTTGACGTTGATGAAAATGCTTTTGTTAATATGCGTGTGCCAATTTTGTATTGGTTTAGATCATCATCTGTAATCAACATACCACGATATGTTGTCCCAATATATGATAGTGTATCAAACTTTGGATGACGAGCTATGATAGCGATAAGATACGCTCGACTGAGGTTGTCCTCAGCTGTTAAATTGTCAAGATGTAATTGAGCAAGGTGGGCATTGAGTGCATAGTAGAAACCAGTATC